AGGAAAAAGTCCGATTTATTATCCTTAGACGATCGTCTTCAGAACGTCGCGGTATTGTGCGACACGTCATGAACGAATCTTTATCTTCCTACGCGACAGTCTTTCGAAAGGAAACGAAATGAAAATTCAAAAAAAACTTTTAACTTGCGATTCATTAAGTGTACAATGTATATGAATTGTATCATTTTTCTTTTTCAAGTTTGTTTGTAAATTCATGCAATATGCTTCCATTAGCATAGAAAGATATGACGTACACTGCCGTTCATAATTATTAAGACACCGTTTATATTCGTGCAGAAAGTATGTATATGATTTAAATTACATTTCTTCGCCGGAGTTAGTGTCATCTTAACACTAAACGTACCACACACGGTCGAATGACCGGTTTTAAAATAAAAATGCAAATATCTAATTTCTTTTATTATTACCTAAAGACCATTTTCTGCGTTCTTTTTTATATTCAAGTAACAATCACCTATATTCCTTTCGGAAAAATATGATTATTTCATAACCGGTCATTTGACCGCCTACGGTAAGAATAGGTATGTATACATAAAGTGTCGGTACGATTAGTGTTAAACTCATTAGTAGATCAACCGAGTTCATTACGGAGTTTTTAACATTGAATATGGAGTTGATTTGAAACTTTTCCGCTTTTAATATTTCCGAATACTACTGAATAGAACTGTCTACTTTTAGCATACCACGGTTGCAAGGAAAATACAAGTTCTGATACGCTTATCCAGAGAATGTCAGTTTACAAAAATTAGAGAACGAAACGCAACGAATGAAAGTAAAATTTAATTATAGCCTTCCTTTTAGAACTTATGAATGGAGTACGAAGTATCTATTTAGGTGACGATGTATGAGTAAAAATATGTACATATATGTACTCCTTATGCTACGAGATTCTAAACTGAATAACTTCGTTTTAGATCTTAATAATATTGTAACGACTGTTTAGATTTAGTTCAAGTTCAGTAAGTTTCCTAATACTCGTGAACAAGAGCCTTGAAATATCAAGAAATATTATTTATAAAATAAGTGATAAATTTCTTTGCATTATTAGAAATAGTGATAATGATTAAACTGGTGAATTAAGTTTGAAAATAAGCAGTGTTACTAATTATAGTCCGTGCTTGCAAAATGCTTACCATATTACACGATAAGCTAAATATGCAATAGTGTTGTGTGATAAAACAGTTTCGTTTACTATTTTTGTAACGAGAAAATGTAAATTAGGAAGTGAGTATAAAGGACCCGATGTCGCGTGAATGTGTTACACAATGTTTTATTAAAATGCAGAGGAAAAAAGGTGCTTTTGTAATGGAAAATATTTCTGTCGTTGCACTTATACGAGAAGCGACGTTAAAACCGACTTTACATACAAATTGGTTTTTCAATCGACTGTTAATACTTTAGAAAATTGTTTCAAACACAGAGAAACTGCTTCATGGTCTTTCTCATTAGAGCCGTTGCTGCTATTCCTTATAAATCATTTATGATCATCTTGCAAGCATGAACATATTCCATTTTCTTTCCCATAAATTCTCCCACTGTTTATTATTATTTCAGCACTCATGAGCGTTGTCCTTTCCATGAACAATATAGCGTACAGTTTCTCTTATTTTCATTCTTAGCCACCCGAAAAACCTTCATTTTTTTCTATCTACCCGATACACTTGAGGAGCAAATATGTATATTGAATTATTTCAACAGGTAGGAAAACAAGGCCAGAGACGTGGTATTGATTTTATTAATAGGGTAAATTTGGGGCAGTATAACAACGTGAATACTAAAGACATTACTTAGTATTATTTATTGCATCGAAATGAAATTAATATACTTAAAATTTTAGGCTAATTCAAAGAAGGTGGCCAATATTTTTTTAAGACAATATTTACAGAAAATTGGGTGAAACAGAATATTTTAATTGAAAATTTTATTACAATTAAATCTCTACGGTTGGTGCATCTCACCTGGATTTACCAATGACAAATGTATATCAGTTCTAAAGTACAATTCATTTACATCGTACGTACAAACAACACAAATTGAGGATAATTCCTAACGATCTTTCCTCGTTAATATTAAATAATTTGACTGCATAGTGCAAGTTACATTCAATTAACTTTCAACCGTAGCTAAACCTTTTGTATCGCAATGTAGCTTAAAGTGTCATTTCACGTTTAAACAATTTCTATGACAGTTCTCTTTTTCTCAGCTATTCCCTCAAATACTTTTATAAGTCACAGTTCGTGTTACCCTCGTTCGATAAAAGTCTCCAATTAAAATGAAAACAAGACAGACGTTTATTCTTATGAAAAATTGATTTTTATTCAAATCTTTCGACATTTCAACCCTTTGCGATCATATTTCTGTTTTCAGACACCAAAGCACTTATATCACGCGATGGAGAAATATAAAATATAATTTTTACATAAAATGAAACCAGATATTATTGCGTTAAACGTATGTAAAGTTAAAAAAATAATAATAAATTTTGCATTCATAATCTTGTATTATATCATTAGTGTTCGTTCGATAAAAATTAACTCTGACCAGCTCAACATCCAGTGTCTAAAATTAATTATTACTTTCTTCCATATTTAGATTCTAATTAACAACTAATAAGAATTTACCCAAATGAAAGAACAAGCCTTTGGACATTTGTCGTTTAACTAACGTCTGCTGCATGATAAAAATATTCTCTAATATTCAATGTTTAGAGTTGCACAGAGGTGTGTAAGATTTATTTACAAACGTAGTATGGAGAAATATATACCGGTATGAATGAATTAAATCTCGCAATTTCGACGGATTTTCATTAGCGCATAACCGTAATGGCCACCTTAAACGACAGTCTCTCCTGACCGTACAACCTTACGAGGGCGTGCAGATGCATCTCATGCATTATTTATTGGCCACCATCGATCCTGCCGTGGGTGCAGTGGACTTCGTCAACGAACTTAAAAGTCTCGTACTTTGTTGTTTATACTTCTGAGGTATTCAATAAGGGATGCCAGAATTTACTTTACTAACAGCTAAGTAGAAGATTGCATGTATAAATAAAACGGAATTTATATGAAAGCGTACAATAAATACAACAATTTTTGTGGCTGTATCTGCGAAAACTCGTGAAACGTAGAATAAAAATATAAGGGAATTGCAATTGCATGATTTACGATTAGTATTAGAAACTGAACGTTTTAGTGAACACGGACACAAAATATTTCAACGTATGTGCCGAAAGTTTGGAACCACCTCCCACTTTTCATCAATATTAAATCTGCTGCTAATTTTTTATAGATTTCAAGTTTATCTCAATTCTACATTTATCAATTTATCTCGTATCAATTGATTCGGACGATAAAACATTCTCAAAATCGCTGAATTTCTTCTGGAAATTTTTGTGTAAATTGCAATGCTCGGTGATTCCCAACTTTTCGCCGGTAGTGTATGTACACTCTCTGTGATACATACTAGGGCACTTATTAAATGTGAAGCATACCGAAATCTACTGAATTCTGCTGAAAAGTCTACTGATCTCTGTTGAAATCTGGTGAAATCTACCAAAATCTGGTGAATTCTATTAAAATCTACTGCACTCTACTGATATCTATTAAAATCTTTTGAAGCTTACGGAAATCTACTAAAATCAATTGAAGTCTACCGAATTCTACTAAAATTTACTAAGATCTACTGAAAACTGCTAAAATCTACTTGCTGCAAGTGAGGCAAACCTCTTTGTCGTCACATGTTTAATGTAAAATTACATAGCTCATAAAAGTTATTACAAAATTATTAAGATCCTAAAAAACAATGATTCGTTCTAGAATCTTGGAGTAGAACGAGTACATACACTACCGGCCGAAAGTTTGGAATCACCTGCCAATTTATATTAATATTGAATCTGCTACTAATTCTTTATTGATTTGAAATTCATATTGTGGAGATCAACAGCACTTTACCTCATTTCGATTGATTTCAATGATAAAAAATTCGTTGGAAAATTTATTACAAATGCTAATTTGGGGAAATTTTTGTGCAACTTGCAATGCACAGTTATTCCAAACATTTGGTCGGTAGTGTATGTATCTTTTCACTAATATAGGAAATGTAATTTAAATTATATAATACTTTCTGCACGAATATAATGGGTATCCTAATACTTATGAACAGCAGTGTATATCGATTGGAATCCAACACGCTCGTACATTACCTCGCTGAACTTCCAGGCTACTATTGATAACTGAAATTAGGACAGACGTGTATTATAGTATCGTCTATTACAACGTCTTGCATTTCCTACTTTCAATCAATGTCCATGATTGTTCAAGCATTCGATCATAAAGATTAAAATCTCTATAAATAATTAGCTGCCTAAATTATATTACTTCGAATTTCCTTTACATTTCCTTCAAATTTATTTACAAGCTATTATAAAATATTGTTTTGCATAGTCGATAACAATTTAAGTTAATGCTACATCAAAAAAAGAATGTATGATCTGTGAAAATTTTGTTTTTCGTGTAATTTCGTGTATTCTTAATTTCAATGAAATTTTTTCTCTATTTACTTTCGCCATTCACACAACTCCAGAATGTACGTATCGTTCACAGGCCAAAATGGTTGACTCCACCATTGGATTTTCTTTGAAATTTTAGGTCCAAAGCACTTGATCGATACTTATCATTCTGTATTAAAAATAAACTTCCTCGATAATCAGATAGGCTTAACACTACTAAATGAAATAAATTTCTACGGCCGTTGAATGATGAACAATTCACCTCAGAAGCCAATGGTGATCAACTCCATACTCGAAAGTAAATCGTTATAACAATGTAATTCAAACGCTTGTAAGAATTTAGATAAGTAATTTTTTTAATGCAATTTTCTCTACTTTTCGTTTCGTCGAGTTAACCGAACGGCTCACATAACAGCAATTTCCATACGCGAGAAATAGCGCAAAAGTTAATTTCTTTCAATTTTTGTTTCAGTACTCACTAGCTTGTTAGTAGTCACTGACGAAGCGCCGCAAGATACCAGGCACAAAAACTACAATGAACATCCGCGGGAAGCATATTTCAACGGATCGGCGTTCCTGAAACTGAGCTCGTTCGTGTCGGTACATAGGCACAGTGGGTTGAGTTTTCGAACCTGCGAAGGTGGCCGCCTGTTCATACAAAAATACAACGAGGATTCGATTAGTCTTGAAGTGACCCCAGACGGACTCTTGTTCGTTGCCATTGTTGACCAGCAACGTTATAAAGCGAGACTGAACGCTAGGCTATTAAATAATGCCTGGCACAATGTCAATCTATTTTTTAGACTCGGAAACCTCACTTTAAATGCAGCAGGTCATACACAGGTAATCGAAACACTTTCGGTATTAAAAAAAAAATCCTTACTACTGGACTCCGTTCTGGTTCGCTCTATTCCTTTCAATTTTAATGCGTGAAGCATATTCGTTAATATCAAAACTTGGTTTAATATAAATATGTTAATATACAGGGTGAGTC